AGATGTCCCTGCTCATGGCAGGGGGGTTGGAACCCGATGATCTTCAAGGTCCCTTCCAACCTAAACCATTCCATGATTTCATGACTTTTAACATGCAAGAGAGCCTGCAACCTGTCCCAGAGACTGCTGCTGGCTGGTCGCTGCTTTCCATCTCGCTTTTCCTCCCCATCTGTTGTGGTTACGGTTCCTTGGGGTGCCTTTGGTGTAGAGACCCTCTTCTTGCTGTGTGGACCCAGTAGGTGCCTTGCTGAGGGGACTTCTGGCCGTTAACAGCAATAACTGTGGCAACAGTACTGGTTAGGCTGCTCTGAGCTTTGCTGTAGCCGGGGAATGATTCTTTAGAAACACCCGTGTTGGCAGCAGCAGCGGTTATTTGGTGGTGAGGTTTAAAACAAGCTGCTCTTCATGTTGGAGTGAATAATGTGATGATTTACTAGTGTCTGAAGGTAGCTTGTGAACACTGCCTTGGAGAAACACTTCAAAATGACTGTTGCTGCTCTGCATTTTGCTCTAGCACTGGACATACCAGCGTGGGGGCTGACAGATGGCCTTTCCCCAGCTGGCGGAGAGCAGCGCACCTCGTAGGAGATGCCGTTAGCTTCCTGACAGCAAACACCTCTGAGCAACGCTCCTGACTCTGAGCTAGTGGTCGCTCTGCAGGAGACACAGCCAAAAGCATGTGGTGGGGAGGGCTGGATCCGGCTGGTGGTGACTTCTCTGGTGTTCCTGAGATGGGGTAGCCTAGTGAAGTGACTCCCTTCTCCGGCGGCAAAGTGGTGATAGCAGGTCTTTGCATGCTGTTTGAAAAAGAAGAGTAGATGGGCAGTAGGGTATGGTAGTAGCAGGAGCAAAAGAATTCCTTATGGCACATCGATGCAGAGGTGCAATAACACCCTTTTGAGTGAGGAGCTCTGCTTTCACGGCGTGCTTGTGTTATCAGTGAAAAAGCAGCAGGACCTGTCTCTCTTCAGCTGTGTTCGAAGCAGGGATGAGAGCAAGGCACTGGCTTCTGGCAAACTGGGCAAAGGAAATGAAACTTACTTTCCGTGCGACCTGAATAGTCCAAATTTGACTGTTGTGCGTTCCTAACAAGATTTAAAATCCAAATTCAGCCAAGAGGGAGTGATGGGTAAAGGCAGAATATGTCTCAGTGAAGATGTAGAGCAGCAGGGTGCTGTTTTGTTTCTATTCGGCCTAATCAATCTGGCTACCAGCTTCCTACTATTTAGAGGAGCAATCAATGAAGGAAAGCATTAGCTGGTGAATACTAGGAAAACATTCTTCATATAACCCAAAATTTGTTTTGAAATCTTGTTCAAGGGTTTGTTCATCTATTCATTGAGCTAGACTTTCCGGCTAAACAAAATTTGTCTTTCTGTTTAAGAGCAATTTGTACTGTCTGAAAACTATTCCCTCTTGCACCAGGCTGATCATGTAGCATTAGAAGAATTCAAAAAGATGCTTTAACTCTTCTGCAAATTCCCTCTTTTTCTTTTTCCTGCACAACAGGCACCACAGAGGATGACCCAATGTTAGATTTGGTGCTTCAAGGTAGTGAAAAGTTAGAATCTGCCAGCATGCCTGTGTCCATAGTCACAGAATCACAGAATGTTTGGGGTTGGAAGGGCCCTCTGTGGGTCACCCAGTCCAACCCCCTGCCAAAGCAGGGTCACCC